TGACTTCACCTGTAGGATCGATCAGAGCCTGCGCGAGATACAGCGTCGCATGATCGATTTCGGAGAAGCCGAGGGAGACATAGCTGTACACATCATCAATACAAGTCACACCACCTATCCTCGCCGCCTACACTCACATCTGGTTATCCCTCGCAGCACGCCGAATCCGCCTGAACTCTTCCGAATCCATAGGCAACGAGTTCTCACGGTACCCCTTGAGCATGGGCAGCGATTGCTGGTAGTTGACCTTCCACATCCAGTAGGGGTAGCCGGGGATCCATACTTCAGGGAAGGCGATGAGCTTGCAGCCTGCGTCGCCGGCTTCTTTGATGAAGTTGATGGTTTTTTGGACGCCGGCTTCGAGGTCGAACCAGCAGGGCTCGGATGTGACCTGTAGTTTGGTCAGATGGAGGAAGAAGGGAGTAGGGGAAGGAAGGGTGGGAACGTACACAGGCGGCTTTGTATTTGGTGAGAGGCATGATAGCGAGATGGAGAGTTTGCAGTGGTGTGTTTGGATAGGAGATGGGAGTTGAAACTTTGATGGATAAATGATAGCCAGAATCGAGCGTCCTCACCAACTCTTAAATACCCAAATCTCAATCTCCAACCCCCCCTCCACTCTGGTTACACAACAGTCTCCATACACCATCACGCCCATTCTAGACAACTCACTGTTTGTCAGTTTCGCGCCAGGAGCATCTTCCCTGCAACTGGGCCTGCATGCCGGTTAATTGACGTGCTTCTCCTCACATGGTGTGATCTGCCGATAACGAGATCGAATGAGAGCGACGAAGTCGACAGCAGTATCTGCAACGACTGCACCAGACAATAGAATTGTGGACTGATGTTCAACATCGACGTCGATGCGTCGTTGCAAGCGTTGATGCCGCAGATGCCGCGACCCAGTGTTAGCGGCATTGTGACGGCGCCGGTCGGCATCTCGGCGGGCTCAACGTCGTTGTACGACCCGAACGACGCCGTTAGTTGATGGAACGCGTGTTTGACTTTGATAGAAAGGCCGATGAGGCAGCGACAATTGTCCCTGTATCTGTCGGCGTATGGTCGTTTGCTGCTCGGAGATCGGGCACGTAATGCCGATGGATATCCGCAGACTTGGAGCTGTTGTCAAGAACATCGAAAACGACACGACCGAGAAAGATGACGAATTGAAGTTATACTAGTTTCTTTGCAGCTCCGTCTCCAGAACGAGGCCTATGCCTTGATGTTCGCTGGTTGCTTGTAGTATTTACTGGGAATGAAGGGCATCTTGGTCACGACAGCCTTCCTCTTCCTGCCACGCACAATGACCTCAACTTCAGTACCTGCCTTGTGCATACCGTCCTTGACATAACCCATCGAGATGTTCTTCTTCATTGTGGGCGAAGGGCACCCAGAAGTGATGGTGCCAATCTTCTCACCGGCCCCGTCAACAATCTCAGCACCCTCTCGTGCAGGCGATCCTTCTACAATGAGCCCGACACGACGCCGTGACACACCACCGCCCTCGGACTTCTTCTTCAGTTGCTGCAAGATGACGGAATCACCGTGGAAGCCGCCTTTTGCGCGGCGGTCCTTGCCGATGATCCAAGATAATCCGGCCTCGACTGGTGTGGTCGTGTCATCAAGATCGTGGCCGTACAAGCACATGCCCGCCTCTAGTCTGAGGGTGTCGCGCGCTCCTAGACCCGCGAAACGCAACTCATCCTTGGCGGAATCGAGCAGGAACTGGGTCACGGCTTCGGTGGCATATGCAGGAATGCTAATCTCGAAGCCATCCTCACCCGTGTATCCACCCCTGCTGACGAGCACTTCGGCATCGGTGCCCTTGATGACGGCGTTTGCGCATTGACCGAAGTAGAGCGATTCGAGGTCCTTCTTGGACTTGTCGTCTAGTACGCGCGACAGTATCTCGGCGGACAGCGGGCCCTGGAGGGCGACCAGACCTTGGCCATCGAGTATGTTCCACTCTACGGGCTGGTCGGGGTGGGCATTCTTCCAGGCCTCTAGCTGCGTCTTGAAGTAGGCCGTGTCCTTTTCCCTGCAGCCGGCATTGGTGACGACGTAGAAGCGGTCGGGGAGACGCGTGACAACCGTGTCGTCGACGATGCCGCCGGTCGAGTGCAGCAGTGTTGACAGCGTGGACTGGCGCGCGGGGAGCGACGACAGCGACGACGGGGTGATGCTCTCGAGGAAGGCTTCGGCGCCAGGCCCAGAAAAGTGGTGCTGGACCCTGACCAAATTAGCGCTGAACGTGATTGGGGTATCGAACAACAGTATTCATAGCATTCCAAGATTGAACATGGCGTTCTTCGTCACTGAACTTACATGTGTCCAACGTCGAACAAGCTGGCCTTCTCGCGCGTCCAGTTGTGAGAGTCGATGATGCTCATGTCGCTGTACTGGACCGGCATGGCATATCCGCCAAAGGGCACAAACTTGGCGCCATACTTGCTGTGAAGTTCGTATAGGCCCGTCTTGCCCAGTTGCTCGTTTGCGCCTGCAGAGGAAGCATACCGGACCTGCTGCTGCGATAGTCGTGTGAGGTTGCGGGGACGTGGGGCTGGAGTCGCGCGCGTTGTTGTGGAGTAACTCGCGACCTGGGCGTGTTCTGCCCTCCAAATGCGCGGCGCAAGACCATTGACGGCCGGGCGCATCGCCAGAGCAGCTTTTTTCGAGGCCATCTTGCGTGGGTGAGGAGGAATTCTGGTGTTTCGTTCCCCGACGGGTATACACGGCCGACTATATATCGCCAATGACGGCAGCTCCCAGCACCCTAGGCCCCGACGAGGCCCAAGCTCCCCCGACTGGATTCCATCCACCGAAACGGCCATCGTTCCCATAACCGCCTATATCGCGCCGCGACTGCCCCAGACGAACCGCAGCAACCATGTCCAAGGGGAGCAAGTACCTGCTGGTGTCGCTGCCGACGTCCATCTCGCCCTCGAACCACCAAGACGACGCCCTGACTGCCCTGCGCTCCACCGTGACCAATGACGTGGGCACCACCTCGCCCTTTGCGATTCCCAACTTCAAGATCGGAACCCTCGATGCGCTTGTCCAGCAGGCGGATGACCTCTCCAAGCTCAACAATGCCTGCGAGGCGGTAGTCGCCAAGGTCGGCGACAGCCTGAGGCAGATACTCGACGGCGACGAGGGCAAGATACAGCAGCAGAAGACGATCAACGACAGTAGGTGGACTGTGCAGTATGCGATTGTAGAACAGCAGCTCACATGACGTAGAGCCTGTCGACCAGTATCTGCGCAACTTCCAGTGGAACAAAGTCAAGTACCGGGCCGACAAGTCTGTTGCCGAACTCATAGACGCACTGCAGAAGGTGAACACTACACACGTATCACGCTGTACCTTTAGCTGACAAGGACAGGAAATACAAGGCATCGACAACGACGTCAAGTCCAAGTTCAGCCAGTACAACCAGACCAAGAGCGCCCTCCAAGCCGCCGAGCGCAAGCGCACAGGAAACCTCGCGACCAAGTCCCTCGTCAACGTCGTAAACCCCAAATCCATCGTCCGCGACTCGGAATATCTCGACACGCATCTCATCGCCGTCCCCAACAACCAAGTAAAGGACTTCTACAAAGACTACGAGGAGCTATGTCCGATGGTCGTACCCCGCTCCGCCAACGAGCTCGCCAAAGACTCAGAATTTACCCTCTTCGCTGTCACCACCTTCAAGAAGCATTCCGGCGAGTTTGTCCACAAATGCAGAGAGAAGCGGTGGACACCGAGAGAGTACCAGTACAAGGAGGGCAACAAGGAAGAGGAGGCCAAAGAGGCCGAACAATTAGCCAAGGACGAGAAGAAGCTCTGGGGCGAGGCATTACGGCTAGGCCGCACAGGATACAGCGAGAGCGCCATGATCTGGATTCATGTCATGGCGTTGAGGGTGTTTGTCGAGACGGTGCTGCGATACGGTCTGCCGCTTGACTTTGTATGCGGCATAGTCCAGGTGAGTCTGACGTACCACGAATCCCGCCACGTACCTGCTAACTTCCCCAGACCGACCCAAAGTCAGCGAAGAAGGCAAAGTCAAATCTCGATTCGGCGTACGCGTACCTCGGTGGTAACGCCTTTGGCCGCGACAGCAAGGGTCGTATCCAGAAGGACGATCAGGCTCTGTCGACCGATATGGCACAAGCTGGTCAGATGGAGCAAGAGTATACGGCGTACGTGTACTACGAGTTTGAGGTGCTATAGTTGAATGTCGAGCGCAACAAGCGATTTGATGTGGACTTGCATTACGCCGATGGTGTCTGCTTGAGGTAGATTTATACGAGGAGTTTTGTAGATAAGCTGTTCTAGGAAAGTAAAATGATGAAATATGGCACAAAGATTTTGAGTATGTGTTGATGGCTGGGTGGTGTAAACCTTGCCGCGGCTCTTAAATTTGTGAATATAGAGTAAATGAGAATTGTTGACTCGTCAATTGTACAGCGTACAGTAATGATTGGGACTTAAGAAAGCTGGTTTGACAGGCTTGGAAGGATGGGGAATGGGGGAAAATGCTGGCATAGGGTGAGAGATTGGGTGCACAACCCTCGATATCGTGATGAAGGGGAATATTTGAATAAATATGTGGAGTGCATGTTCATGACGCCCACCCGGCTGAGTCTCATCATCCTGTCGTACTTCGCTCACTTGGATGTAGCCCACAAGCGGTGGCTCTGGCAAGTAGAGCAGGCGGTATTTTGGCGGACAGACGTAGGATTCTCTACTGTGCGTGGCCGGATGAAACAACAACTTAGTACCAGGTGAAGCAAAGCGCGGACCAGATAGACGACATTCAACGCCCTGCGATAGTTGATGCGTGGTGGTGATGGGGACAACATGGGGAAGTATAGGCGGGATGTCAGCCGGCGCTAGCGCAAAGGGCCGCCGCGGGAGTCATGGATCCTTGTCGCAACTTTACTTTCTCCAAATCTTCCCCACCACCACCAAACTTCCGATTCATGACACTCGCTACGACCTCACCTTCATAACAATGGCTGACGCGGATGAAGATGCGTCGCACTTGCGCGTACCTGACGCCGCCGACTACGACCCCACGGAGGAAGCGCAAGATTTCCTGAAGCTCGACAAGCTCACGTACGCCTTCACATGTCGGGCTATCGTTTATCGTATGGCTGACATGATTACTCAGAGCACAAGACAGCGCGCATCCCACACTACCCAAACGCGGCGAGAAGGACTTCGAAAGTCATGAGACGAACCTCCAGCTCGACACGCTCGAGGCCTCGCGCCGGGCCATGCACGGCGTCCTCTCGTGGCAGCGCACGCACACTCAAAAGGGCCACATACTGGCCATGTACGACCCAGAGCGTAACATGGCATGCGTCGACAAGGTCCGATCACAGCACTTCCAAACGATAGGAACGAATAAAGGTGGAAGAGAATGGTTACTGCCAGAAGAAGCATTGTTCTTGCTCGAGCGAGGGACATTAGATGTTCGGTGGCCGGTCAAGCGAGAGGTGGGCGACAAGACAGTATACAGGACTGAAGACGGTGCGCCAATGAGCTTGCAGTCGGCATATGCCGCCTTCATCGGATTCGAAAGCGGCGTCGGTGGAAAGTTGACACTGGAAATGTATAACGTCTACGCAGGACTGAAGAGATCGGGCTACGTCATCTTCAGAACAGGAACATGGGACCACGATAGAGGAGACGTCGTCTTAGCGCCACCCAAGACAGAAGTGAAGACCGGAACGGGACCAGGAATAGTCACCCGCTTCTTCTCCGATCTATGGCGGCGACTGAGTGAGCCCACATACCACATCTCATCCGAGCAGCTTGCTTTTGGCCCGCTCATCAAGCCCGGCTTGTACCGAAGCTACAACGACGTCTACCGCCTACTCAAACTGATACCCACCTACGACCGCTCCGTCCCACCCACCTTCATGCTCCCACCTTCATCAGACAACCCATACCGCGTCCATTTCGACGTCTACCGCACCACAGCCCGATTCAAGAAATCCGCCCGCGGACCCCCAGACTTTCGCATATGCGTCGTCGACGCGCGCTCGACACCCATACCCACGGGCGCACAGCTAAACGATCTCATGGCGCAGGTGCCGGAAGACAGACCCAAGGGCGATGGGGGCCATCCGAACCAGAGACTGAAGCATGGGTGCAGGAATGTGGTAGTGGCGGTAGTGGATAATGGCATACCGAGCTATCTTAGGATTGCCGATGCTCCGTTCGACGAGGTTAAGATTTATGAGAGGTCGGCGCCGAGGGGGAAGGGCGGGGGGAGAGGAAGAGGAGGTGGCAGGGGGAGAGGGAGGGGGAGGGGACGCGGTCGTTGAGCATGAGTATGCAGCGCATCCGTACCACGATCGCTAATAACGAGGTGCCGAGAAGACTCAACCGAGGGCTTTGGTTCGACCGCAGAGGCCTTCCGCCTAGAAATCGTCCCACGGACCGTGATCAGATTTGAAGGGCGAATAGCTTCATTAAGTGGAATTCCATTTGCCAGGATAAGCATTGGTTTCTACACCCTGAAGGACGGCGGTCACGCAATGCAATACGACGTCCTCGGGTGGTTTCAGCTCCCTCGACCTTTTCCATCCCGCAGATCCGCCCGCGCGCGGACGAGTTCCCATCACGTTGTCTTGGCGGGTCAACATCCATCTGGAACGGGCTCTCCATCTAAAGCAGGGGCTGTGATACATATCGCGGTTATGCCTCATCGACCACCGGTGAAAGAGATATGTTACATAATCTCTACTAAGCGTTTACAAGGTACCCATTCTGCCTACCATGCCTTTCTTCGCCTCTGCTTTCTCTTCGCACTTGGCTAGTGGGGACGCACAATCGTTCTGACTGTGCAGCGCCCAAAGCTGAGGAACATCATTCGCTTCGCTAAGAGATCACTGGGTCATCTCTAGCAAACGCTGGCATCATTTACTCAAAGTGTTCGGTACTTGTACACGGCATTTGGGGTTGCTGATGCGAACCCAACTGCATCATCAACACTGTACAGCCAGTTGAGTTCGCATCCATATCCTTTGATCCTTAGAGGCGCGTCGGAATAGAGTCCTTGGGGCATATTCGTCTATTTTCCCCACACACACACACACCTCACTACCCATCGGTTTCAGCCTGTCTTGGGTGTGCATGTACTATGCCCCCCTCCGCACAGCTACCAGAACAACGCGACGATATGTGTGTCGTCCGCTTAGTTCAAATTGAAGACATCCCGCAACGGGATGACTTCCGAAGAATGACCTTGGGCCAGACCATAGAATGGTTGCTGAGGCGTTCAGGCACACCCACCTATGGCGCACATACCACTAGTCAACCTGCATAAGCCACGCGCTCATATCATACCCAGGTGCCTGGTCTTTTCAAATAACGCTATGTTGAGCTTGGACACAAAATTAATCCGAGGCTTCTCGGGACTTGCCGACTGAGTCTGCAGGTTTCAGTAGCTTACAATTGGGTGTGTAAAGGTGTGTGCAACTTTGGGCAATGTGCACTGACGCAAAGCCGACAGCATGATCTGGATCGCTGGGGAACGCGTTGCAATCTGAGCGAAGTGGCACGACGCACACCCTGGGCAGATTCCTCGCCATCTCTCACGCCGGAAACAGATATCGCAAACGCCTGAAGTTCTCGTACATGTCTACAATACTAGCTCCTGCGCAGCACAATTCGAGGCGAGGCCTTCGGAAGACGCATCCATAGTGCACCTATTGCGCTACTCACGCGCACCATGCCAATCGTCCGTACGGCAGTCGTCCCGCTCCTCACCATACTAATCCACGATCGCTACCGAAATGTCACCCCTGCGCCGATCCAAACGTGGAAAGTCGATCAAACGGTTCGCTACGCTAGTGGTGACGATCTATGATACCGTCATGCCGGCGAGAACGAGGCTTCAATCCAACACTATTTGCGCTATCGTCGCGCACTCCTGATCACAACTTCGATTGCTGGCGCGAAACAAGCCCGACCTCCAATCTGATCCAAAGGTGCATTCGATTCTCGACGCTATCGTCGCGCAAGGCAGCGACACGATATCGGCGGCGTGTCTTGGTTGCTCTAGGCTTGCAGTGAGGTCGTTTGAGGCTTTATGATAGAGGCTGCATCTCAACAGACAATCACGACTTCGATCTGAATTTGTCAGTCACCAAATCCATGAGAGACTGTCTTGTCGAGTGTACTACCATCAAGCAAGACAAGAGCGCTGGAAGATTGTCGATCAAAGACCCGCTTCATCTATGAAGACGTTCCGTCGTATCCAACGGCTGCATCGTGGGGAAGAGGACCTTACCCTGTTTGCACATCAGTATCACCAGAAATGGAGATGGTGTTGCACCCTGAAAGCCAACCCCGCGTTGGGCACCATCCCTGGCGAGCACTTATGGTTGCGGGAACTAGTGTTAGCCGTCCTAGCACCAAACCTTACATGACAATCCAGCAAAATGACCGTGTCCGATCGAATGCAAATCGACTTCTTGGCGCCTTATCTCATCACGAAGCAACCAGGTCGACGGGCCAGCCCTTTGCGCAATGCGCTAGTGCCCGCTTCCAGATCGTGTTAATCCACTCAAGCCTATGGCGGAACGGCACCCGTACCTTGGAATTGCTTAGACGTTGCGACTCAGGAGAACTGCGCGAAGCGGATGGGGTCCGCACCAATGAAAACTGCCACAAAGCAGGTACCCCAGCTCCGGCAGCCTCGCGCACTCCCGATGGCATACACCAAGCGTTCTTTGTGGCCGTTCTGGATACCAAAGTTCTAGATCCAGGGCACGTTCACGATGGGAAGGGCCAGACCAGCGCAGTAGACTGCAATTTGTATTGCTCGTCGACATCGATCGAGGTCGTGGCTGAGGAGGAAATCCAAATGATGCTTGCACAGGGGATACTCCAAGACAACAGCCTTCGTCTTGGAGAAACACATAAAGACCAGTCAGTCCTGCTGCATGAAGAACGCATCCTCAGCATCTCCAGCTCTCGCTTTACAAGCTTCACAGCTCTACCTTCGCTCTTAATCTCTTGTCCTCCTCGGCATCTCTCTCGCTTCCTCTCTCGCTACCCTTACTCGCTCGGTCTATCATATCAATCAAGATGAAGCTCCTCGCTACCATCACCTTCTTCAGCGCTTTGGCTGCAGCTGCGCCAGTCCTCGACGCACGCGCTACTACCACCGCGAAGACCTCCAGTGCTCTCAAGACTAGCAGCGCAGCAGCCGTCAAGTCCAGCAGCGCAGCTGCAGTCGTCACTGCGAAGTCTAGCAGTGCAGCAGTCGTTTCGAAGGCTAGCAGCTCCGCGGTAGTTTCCAAGGCCAGCAGCTCTGCCATCGTCTCTAAGGTCAGCAGCGCTGCCAGCTCAGTCATCACTTCGAAGGCCAGCAGCGCAGCCGCCACAACAACGGGTACCGCACCTCTGCTTGGTGTCAATGTCGGTGGATCGTCCTCACCTCTTTTGGGAGTCAAGGTCTCGTCTTCGACCTTGTTGGCCGTCGACGTTAGCCTGGGAGCTTCATCTGTCAAGGCCTCATCGGTAGCCACCATCACTGCGGCGCCCACTTCCGCTCCAGCTACAGCTTCCACCGCTCTGCCGTCCACCTTCTCCGCTCCAGTACAGGGACAAGGCAAGCTCACGCTCGACAACCTCCCCGCCATGCCCGGCGTGATCGACAAAGCCTTCTCCGGTGTTCTTGGTGCTGCCTATGGCCTCAGTAAGTGATCCATACTTGCAATATGTCTTCCAAGCGATCAGTCGACTAACACGCATAATAGTGTCGGGCGCATGCGATTCATCGTACAAGTGCAACATCACCGTAGCTGGTACACTCAACAACCTTCTCATTGACGGCAACAACTATGGCACCAACACCAGTGTGGCAGCATGGTGCGACGGTGGCCGCTGCTATGGTGCCGCCAGTGCCCCGTTGAGCGCGACAGCTCCCTTCATCATCACTTGCGATCAGCTCAGCGGTACCCAAGTCTGCTCTGCGACCATCTCTGGTGCGGCAAATGCTATCTTCCAGAACGGAGAGTCTGTTGGTAAGTCTTCACCCGTCCTTATATCGTAACTTGACGCTGACCTTGCGCTAGAACTCTGGGGCTGGCTTACACCCGCCGGATACTGCCAGAACGGTGTGTGCACTGCATCTATCACGGCTGTTGGTGACCCAATGTACTGAGCGGGATGGATGAGTCGGGCTCATGAGCCGATGCGACGCAATCGGGGAATATAATGCCGAGGAGGACAAGAGATTCTGTATTGTGTTGAGGATCTATCTGTTAGGGTACATAGGCCCGCCTAATATCGTGTTTGCTTTGGGTTTCACTTTCATAGCCGTTTCGATAGGCTTAATGCGATATGATCTTTCTAACTCCTGCCTTTGACAGCACGGGCATCTCCATGCCTGAACGTCAAGTCTCATACTACAGTGGGACGTGTGCGGCCACCGACTGGACGCCTCAAATGTCTCTCTAGTATCTAACTCGCGCGTGATTAGCAAAAGAAGGAACCCGCTGTGACTGCGTGTCTGCTTTTGTATTGGGACGTCATGGGAAAAGTGGCACTCGCATGCTAGCGCCACGCTACGCGCCTGCTCCAACACGTTTCTATTGACGCGGATGCCGGAATGTCCACAATTATTGCGAACCTTTTTGAAGCGAGAGCGCAATTGCAAATGCATTATGCGCATTTCGAATCTTCTACGACCTTATTGGGTAAAATCAGTAAGCAGGTTCCGCAATTGATGTTACCTATGGTTTCCTGGTCCCCACTATGGCTCCACCTTTATCGCAACGGTGAATTCTTCTCGGGGCATTTTGCAACCACGACCAAAGGAAAGGGGGTTTGCTGGCCTGGTCCATGACGTAGGACTCAGATGAAGCATCGTTTGACCTTCCATTTTGACGATCCAAGGAATCCTTCACGTCTACATCACAACCTTGGAATGCGTTGTAGGAATTGCAGATGGCTGCAGTTGGTCTGCATCAACGTGACAGAACAACAGAAGACACTGCGCACTGCTTGTATAATTCACACAATACAGCTATTAGCAAAAGCCTTAAGAATTATAGTGTTTCGTTTGGACGAAGAGGCTATCGATCTCGTGAACTACGACTCATGAGTGGGTTCATATAGCGTCCATATTGGGTTACTATACCGTCCAACCTGGCTTCATACAACGTCCACAGTGGGTTAATACATCATTCACAGTGGGTCGTAGGATTCAAGAGGCTATCGCTCTCGTGAACTACGACTCATGTGTGGATTCACACAGCGTCCAGAATGGGATGATACAGCGTCCAAACTGAATCGATACAGCATCCACAGTGGGTTGATGCAGCGTCCAAAGTGGATTGTTACAGCGTCGAAAGTGGACGCACGACTAGGTCTAGTCTGCAATGAAGTCACGGATACGCTCAGAATTGAGGACGTTGCCGGACAAGAGCCCACCAAGCTTATCGTGATGAAGACTTTTCTTTCGTGATCAGCGTTCGTAAGACTGTGAGTTGTCAGCGCCTTTGATCGCAGACTGCCGTATAAGTCTCCTGGATGCGCGTCCTTTCACGCACTGGGCAGCCCAAGCGTTCACAATCCATGCAGTCAAGATGCTATCCAACATGTCGATTCCGGGACTAGTACGAGTCCCATATGCTACGTCAGAACTACCCCTAGAGCCACTTGCGCATAATTTCTCAGCAAGCACAGCCATCTTACTGGGCGTTGTGGTCGTACTCTCGATCGTCGTTAGTACCAGCGGAAAATCGAAACATCCACTAGCAAATCCTCCACGATGGAACCAGACCACTCTCTCAAAACGGATTGAATTTCTCATGAACGGAAGGGCCATACTGAGCGACGCGAGGAAGCGCTACGGCAAGCAGCCCTACAGGTTGGTTGTTGACACAGGCGAATGTCTCATTCTGCCTCCTGAGTATGCAGCAACAATTCGTAACAGCATGGATCTGAGCTTCGCAAAGGCAATAGAGAAGAACTTCTCGGGAAATGTCTCCGGCTTCGAGATGTATGCTGTCTTGCTCCACGAACAAAGACTTGTGCAGAACGTTGTGAAGGACCAACTTACCAAATACTTAAGTAAGAAGCAAGCAACTACGTGTATGATGCGAAGCTAACAAGGCCCTTCAAGACGTCTTGACAAAGCCCCTCTCCGAAGAAGCCAGTCATGCTCTCGACGTGATATTCGGACAGGATACGGGTGAGATGACTTTGCTGTTCGTCTCAAATAAGTGATGCAAGCTAACCACCTAGCAGAATGGAAGGAAACTGTTATAGCAGATAGCATCCTCCAACTAATCGCCCGTCTCTCCACGAGGGTCTTTCTCGGCGACACCATGTGCCGAAACACGGCGTGGCTCGAAGCTTCCAAGGCCTACACGGTAGCAAGCTTCACCATGATTCTCAAGATGACAGCCCTCCCATCCTCTCTCAAGTTCCTCGTTCCCTGGCTCTCCTCCGAGGCGAAGAACGTCTTCAAACACGGAGCCACATGCCGCGCAATTCTCACGCCTCTTCTCGCCGAGCGTCGAGCTCTAAAAGCGGAAGCTAGGAGAAACGGCAAACCGGAACCGGTCTTCAACGACATGATCGATTGGTTCGAGCAGAAGAGCGGAGGAAAAGGGTATGACCCAGCTCTCTACCAGCTTGCGCTATCTTTCGTAGCGATACATACGACCAGTGAGCTACTAACACATGCTATAACCTTGCTGGCGGACGAACCGCACTACGTTGCGGCATTACGGGAAGAGATCGTGAGGGTACTGACAGCCGACGGGCTGACCAAGGCGGCGCTTGCAAACCTCACGCTGATGGATAGCGCATTGAAAGAATCGCAGCGGTATAGGCCCGCTGCATTCTGTAAGTCGTTCAGTCGATGATGGGAAACAACTCCAAGCTGACCCTGCTCCAGTAACAATGCGTCGTCAAGCCCGACGCACCGTCGTCCTCCCCGACGGCCTCGTCATCAACAAAGGCGAACAAATTGCAGTCGACGGCTTCAACATGTCAGACCCCACCGTCTACCCCGATCCACACAAATACGACATATACCGCTACCAGCGCATGCGCGCCAGCACCGACCGCGCCACAGTCAGCCAAGCGCATCTCGTTTCCACCGGTCCCAATAATCTGTCATTTGGACATGGCGCACAGGGCTGCCCAGGCAGGTTCTTCGCTGCGAATGAGATGAAGATTGCTCTGTGCCATTTGCTGCTCAAGTACGATTGGCAGTTGGCTGAGGGGACGGATCTGGAATCGAGGTTCTTGTTTGGCGAGACGGAGGCGCTGAGCAAGGGGAATAAGTTGAGGTTTAGACGGAGGAGGGAGGAGATTGATTTGGAGGGATTGGCTTATGTGTGATTGGGCTTGAGGCGGACGTGTTGAGTAGTGATACACCTGATGATTATGTTCGTGTAGCACGAAAGCGTTTTATGTAGGCCATTATTCCTGGTAATCGGCAAGAGATCCATGGATTGAATCGGCACGGCAAGAAACATTACTCAGGGCTGATGAAGCGACTGCTGACATGTAGTTCGACGCATCGCACGTCTTCGTGTACCAAGGAATTACGTGAGTAGGGTGGATAGAACAGACGGTCCGTCTCAGCACGCTGTTGTGTTGCGGTGCGTGGTGTTGCTGCAGGCGGGCGGGCGTGACGAGGGCCGCCAAGGATTAGCGCGTGGCGAGTTCGACCGCACGCCGGGCTTCCGCGTCACCGCGTGCCGTCTCACCTCCTGTACTCCATCCACCACCTGTGCGCATTCCCATGCTGGCCATGAGACTTTCGCATCTGCCTATCCTGTTGTGCTAATAACCGACGAGACTTCCGACACTATGTTGGCCTTGCTCGAAAGACACGATCGTACACCAGCACCGGCGAGTTGATCAAAGTCTCCGGGATGATGTGTCGCGGTGGTCAACCTTCGGAAACATTACTGTAGTCAGGACCCGACATAGCTCGCGCCGGTGCGATTCTTGAAGTATGCAAAAAGGTTCCGTTCCTTCAAGCGAGCCTGTACATGTAGAGACGTATATATACGTATCACGACGCCAAACCAAAGATGCGACATGCGCATCAGTCTGGTCACGCTACAACTTCACCCTTCCCAACTTAACATGTCGTCGCAGAACCAGCATGAAACAACCGTCTGGCTCTGGCCGACGGGCTTGTTCCCTCGCCGGGTCGTCTATTACCTCCGCGCAAAGAACATTACCTCTTCGATGCTTCACGAGAAGAACATCCACCTCATCCCCCTCTTTCCTGACAAAAACACGCCAACGCCAGACATCGTCCCCCGCCCCGGCCTCGAGGCCCGTCCTACCGGAACCTCGGTGCCGGCACTGCGCATTACATACGCCGATGGCACGGTCTTCTGGATATACGAGTCGAATGCGATCATGGAGTACTTCGAAGAAGTCTTCAGCGTGGACAATGGGTATCTGGACGTGAGGGGCGCAACCATCCAACAACGGGCTCGGACGAGAGACATCTTGAGCCTGCTCTCCGATGCCATCACTTGGAGCAACGTCGCGCTTGTACATTCAAATCCGAACACGTTGTCCTGGTCGGGCTTGACGGAGGATGAGATGAGTGAGAGTGCGGCAAAGCATGCGCATGGGAAGTTTCACATGCTCTTGTCGCGGTTGGAGGCTCGGATACAAGGAGACGTGGTTGGCAACAACAGCGTAAGTTTGAGTGGTGATGGCGCAAACGTCACATTAGCGGACCTCTGCATCATGGCCCAGGTGGAGTATATGCAGGAGATGTATGGTCTCGATTGGGTGGCCGAACATGGGGTGTTAAGGGTCTGGTATGATAGGACTAAGGGACAGAATTGGGTTGCCAGTAAGAGTGCGCTGCAGGACGTTGAAAGAACGGGTGAGTGGACCAGGATACTTGACATGTGAGAGCGGCGGTATGTAGTTTAAAGATGCCCAGTCGAAGCTGTACTTCTCTCGGTCGAAAAACTGCTCTATTCCGCTGTTCCGATGTCGTTGCGCGGCTTTCGAGGTGCAAGGGCTTGGGTCAGCCGCCAAGAACGAGCTTAAGCGGGGCGTCAATCCAGCCACTCCCGCGGCCATGCACACCGTCCCACCGTCCCACCTACCATCTCGCAGCATGCACACCTATGGAACTTGACGCGCGACCGCCAGTCAGAACCACAGTCTTCCCAGAACCCGTCGATGAGAGCTCTATTCGTCTTCTCCGGTTCTCGCAGCCAGAAGATGGCGTCTTCGTTGGCAAGCTGCAGAAGTTCGCCATCGCCAGCGCCCCTCATTATTACACAGCCAGCTATGTGTGGGGCGAGCGCAAGTACAAAGGTGCAAAGATTAATCTGAAGACCGGAGGACTACCCATACTAAACAGCCTGGTACCATTCATTCACATGGTCACCCGCCATAGCGACTTCAAGACCACAGACTGGTGGTGGATTGACTCGCTGTGCATCAACTTGGATGATCCCAGCGAACGCGAGAAACAGGTGCGCATCATGGCAGACATCTACAAAAGAGCCAGGCGAGCAATAGTCTGGCTGGGTGAGGAGAAAGAAGACGGTAGCGACTGCACCGATGCCATCGACTTCATGCACTACCTGTCCACCTTGCAGATCGGGTTCAATGGGGACGACCTTGCCATGCGCAAGAAACTCGAGAACCCAGAGTTCACCGAGAAGTGTGCCGCCGTCAGTAATCTTCTCGCCAGGCCGTGGTGGACAAGGGTCTGGACGTTACAAGAGTTTGTCTTGCCAAAGGAGGCGAAACTCTACTGTGGCGTGGATAGTATCAGTCGCGGAAGATTCAAAAGCGCCATCTATAGCATCTTCCTTTGCAGCACCATCAGCAAGGACTTTGAGCACGAGCTTGTTCCGCGAAAGCTCTTTGATGGAGCCTTCAATCGCCGCCGCATTCATCAATGGCACACCAAGCCAGCCTCGATCGGCATCAACCTGATCGCCATCATGGCGTACCTGGGTAATCACTCCGCCACCGACAGTAGAGATCGCATTTACTCCGTGCTAGGTTTGATCACTGAACAAGACCGAGCGCTCATCGGACCTGCCGAATATACCACCAGTATTGCGCACCAATTTGCACGACTCGTTCGCTCTTTCTGGACCGTCCATCGGTCCCTGGATATCGTCTGCTTCGCGCATTTGTTCTGTCCTAACGCCGCAGTCAGCGACCCCGGTGTCGAAGATCCTGTGCCTACCTGGGCTCCGGACTGGAGGACGACAATCGACTTCGCTTCGCCTGTGCCGCTGATGGCAAGCCAAAGTGCGTGTGAGCACATTGGAAACTTCAGACCGCTACGATCAACACGCTGGAAAGCAATCTACGATGCTCCTGGAGAGACACTGAGGAAAGAAGCAGATGTTTCATTTTCCGAGGACTTGAAGGAACTCCATTGCAACGGTGTCGTGTTGGACACTATTCACGGGCTCGGCGGGCTTGACGAGCGCGAATTGCGATGCGAGAGCTTTGTCTGCCGCGAGGCCGGTCATGACTTGATGCAGTCGCAAGAATACCAGCATAGTGCTTCGCGAGTCGCAAAGCAGCCTGCTGAGTGGCTTGAAGCTATAGCGCGGTCCTTGGTTATCGACCGTCGAGACAAATACCTCTGCTTCCAGGCGCCATCGCACTACATCAGCGACTTCATCTTCCTCTGTCATGCCTGTGTTGACGGCGATCCTGTCGACTGGAGCTTTGCAACATGGTTTGAGCGCAACCGTCATGTGATGTTCGGCAACATGTCGCTCGAAGACATAGTCCGACAGATTCCTACCAAGTTTACCTCACCTCCTCCAACACTGCATCGGCCACCGTCGCATCCCGTACATCAAATGAACGACAAGCTCGACACATTCCTCTCACGATTCCACGACACTGTGCGGAAGAAGGCGCGCCGGCTGATGGTCACCGAACGAGGCTGCGTGGGCATGGCACCTTGTCGCGCAAGACCCGGCGATGTCGTGGCTATCCTGTTCGGTTGCAGCATCCCGCTTGTCCTGCGAAAAATGGTGTCGCAAGCTGCGTGGCAGGTTGTCGGTGAGGGCTTTGTACATGGCCAAATGAATGGCGAGATTGCAGACGAGCTGAAGAACGGGACGCTCAACGTACGTCGATTGAGGCTAGTCTGAGCTGCCGCAGTTACCTCTCACGCGCGTGATGCGTTAATAGAAAAAGGTGATCGGCGAGCGGTACAGCGCATGCAAGGTAACCGGTACCTCTGCTGTAGCTCAGCCTTCTGGTCCGACATCAGCCTTGTCTGTGTTGGTGCACCCATTGCCGACCCAGATGACCCGAAACATCTCACCGTCAAGATATTTCGAGCGCAACTCATCGAACCGCTGCACCTCAGTGGCCATCATGTGTGCTTGCTTCCAAGACGTGCGACCACGCTTGGACTTTCCTGGACTTCGTGCAAGGCTCGCAACTTTCTATCCCGCACCAGGCTGTGCGCCAATCGACAACACTGCGATAGAGAAGCCCACATCTCACAGCTATTGACGACGTGTCGTATCACAGGTTATATGAAAATGTCATTGCGCCTGGCAATCATTTCATTCGTTGCGCGTAGTGAAAAGGTTATCCTTGGGCATCAAGCGTGCGCCGATCGGGGACCGTTTCGCTGTGTGATACCACAGCTTTGCGCCACGTTGCATTGTGATTCGCAACACTCTGACCAGGCTACAGTTGAATTATGATACATGGAACATAGGCTTGTTGCGCCTGTGTATAAAGGCATGCCTTCCTGGACTTGCTGACGGCTGTCCGCTTACCCTGCCTGCTTCAGCTTCAGACCCTGACAACTTGCATCGTAGCGAGCAAGCCACGCAAAGACCTCTCCAACATGTCCGGCGACTTCTACTATCCCCTCGCTCCACTTTACGTCAACGTCAATGACGAGGTGGAAGTGTCGTGGTGGTCAACATTTGCCGAACGACTGCAGTTGTGGTGCTATGAGAACAACAACAACCCAGCTCTAGGTTACAGTGCGGCCCTCACAACATATCTTCAAGATGATGTTTGACCTGACGAGATGTTAGTATACGAGTACGACATTCCGCAGAATGGCACTCAAGATCTGTCGCTGCCGATGCTAGAGCAGGACGTAAAAGATTGGAGCGAGCCTGTCAGTTGCGGTATTAAATTCTACGAGAAGGGTGGAACCACGACTATCTATGCTGCTTCAATCACCATAAGCTCCGTTGCGACTCAGCCCGCATCGGTCTTTGCTTCGGCGTCGACCGTCACGTACGAGCGAACCACGACAAGCGCGTCCGCCCCGAGCACAGCATCGAACCCCGTCAACACAGGCGATACAGCACCGCCAACCGTGACGCCTACCAATCCAGTCGTCACCACAAGCTCAAGCGACAGTGCTGGTTTGTCCACAGCAGCGAAGGCCGGCATCGGCGCCGGCATTGGTGTTTCCGCGTTGCTTGTCGCGGCGGCTGCATACCTGTTCTACCGCAATCACCGCAAGCTCAAAGACCTCAACGCACGTCTTGGCTACCAATCTCAAGCCGAGCTGTTCGATAAGCCTCCGGGTGTTGCGGTCGCGCCTCATGGAAGCAATGCATACGAGAGACCGTATAGCGAGGCTACAATGTCGCAGGCTTATGCTTTACCGCAGGCACCGGTGCAGCTTTCCTAGACGTGCGCTTGAGGTATAACGACTGCTAGTATTGCGCTTTGCTTCGCGTCCGCAGGGTCTTGATCAGTCCCGTGGTATAATACTACCCTGTTGTTGTCTGTTCGATTGCCTCGCTTGCACATCTCTGAAGGTTATAACTAGACAACAGAAGCGGGAAGTGTGTTGAGCTCGACTGGGACTGCCTCTCACTAGTCTTCAGAAACGTGTCTGAACCCCACACGGAGCCACAGCAGCTCTGGCCGACCACCATCTCTGACTTTCCAACCCCCGCAATGTGCATGCCCAAGATTTCTCTCGAAAAGACCCAGGCTCGACCGCGAAGCCCAGAAGCCTTGTCTGGATCGCTGTGCTTCCGAAACTCGCCAATTGACGATGATGCCAAGTGTATGGCGCAGCCCATGTGAGGTGGCCACCACCCGCGTTTTCGGCTACGCTCAGCCTCACAGAAGCAATCTTGAGCTCCCCTCAACAACAAACGTTCAAAATGACCCTTGCGCCAATTCACCTAAACTCACATTGGGACGAACTCCAGATTCCTAGATCAGCGTCGTCTGCCAGCTTGATGATTAGCGACACCGCCCCAACTTCTACCAGCGTGCCCAGGCCTGCGGCACAATGTTCCGCATCGTGCTGCATCGTGGACCCACTCCACATAATGGCAACGACAGAACATAGCATGCGGGTTGCTTGTGGCTTCAACATGGCGTTGCTCTCCATTCGTTATCGCGGAAAACAAACTCCCTTGTACATTCGTTAGTATGCTGAATGGGGGTCATTTCGCTACACTGTGCTCTCAGCCTCACGCCACTTCGCCTCGGGATTCGCGCGCTATCGTTCGAGGCTGCAAAAGACTTGCTGGCAATAAAGCTAGATATACGCGAGGTAGAGATAGGCGGATCGCAGGCTTCTACAAAGCCGCTGCTGCTGCACCAGTATACAATAATCTTTCTATTGTTCCGTGTTGCTCCTCAGTTTCTCTTTCTCCCTTCTTCGTCAACCTCGCTTCGCCGAAAGCGACTGAATATGTCAGGTGCCTTCAACTACCCGCGCGAGGAGCACCATGTGGTCCTCAATGTCGATGACTCAGTGGTGGTAGACTGGTGGTCGACCTTTGCGGACACACTCGTGATCCAATGCTATGAACGAGGCGATATCGAAGCAGGGGACGAAGAAAGTGAGATCCACCACAGCCCCTCTTATCGTCGCAGCTCCGCTAACATAGAATGAAGGCTTCAGCATAGTAATCAATCAGAACGGAACCGAAGCATGGTCGCCAATCTACCTGTCCCGACGATTCGATGACTGGTCTCTTCCCGCAGGGTGTGTGCTTTCGATGGAAGAAGCGGGCGCCGGTAATATCGGAGGTGCGACGATAGGCGTTACGTCAGCCACTTCTTCTCAAGCTGCATCGATATTCGCTTTGTCTTCGACCGTAGCGTTGAACAGCGAGTCATCGTCTTCACCAACATCAACGCCGGCACCATCCACGACCCCGATCTCAAGCCCTGCTAGTACAGTACCATCGATCCCGTCGACACCCACACCCACAGGGCCCACCGATGCTACCGCAACAGGTGCAAATAGCAGCGGCGGCTTATCGACTGGCGCCAAGGCTGGTATCGGTGCTGGTGTCGCGGTGGGCGCGTTACTTGTAACAGCAGCGGCATTCTTATTCTACCGTAATCGTCGCAAGACGAAGGACTTGAATACCAGAATGAGTTATCAACCCGAAGCTGAAGCGCAGCAGTACGAGAAGCCACCTGGAGTTGCGGTCGCGCATCACGCAGTCGACCGGGATACAAAGTCATACAACAATGCACCGACTTGGTCGCAGGAACTTCCATCGCCCCACGTGCCGCCGTCGGAGCTTGCGGCTACTCGATAAGAATGCGAAGGCTTGAAGTACAACGAGGAAGGATGTATTTAATCTGCTATACGATGGTATCATGGAGGGATTGAATTGCAAGAGGAGGAAGCTGAAAGGGCGAAGGAAAGAAACATACCACGCGCACTCGCGTCAATCTCAATAGTACCGATAGACGCGATAAGTATCGCTCACCAGATCAATGGCATGCTGTCGGCCCTGCGCCTTGATCTCAGCCTCTACCTGCGTCGCTCTGAGCTTCTGCTGCGCGTTCATATTGCAACGCTGTGTCGCCTGATCCATGCGCTGCTGTACCTCCACTGGCCGACTCGGAGGAAAGATCCATCGCGGCAAGGGCCCACGCTCCGGCCAGACGTTGTACACACGCAACGCGTTGTTCAACCCAGGAACCACAAAGATGCCGTCGGGATGCGCCGCGCAACTGAATCCAATCCAATCTGTGAATCCGGCCAAGCTGAGAAGAGGCATGCCGCCGTATGGTAGCTGCGGCGCGCCCGGATTGCGCGTCACGACCTTGTGATCGAAGAAGAAGCCTTCCATTACGTTTTTGAACTCATAGTCTGCCATGTCTTCTTTCGCGAACATGCCGCCATGGGTAAGACTTCTCTTCCCTACCGTCAAAACACGGGAGAGTCAGCAGTCGTTCTTGCGCAACCTGCGTACAGTGAACTGTTCGCCCGCGCGTAGCAGAGTACTTACAAATGTTGTCAGGATCCGGGCAGTGCGATACTTCCGCGAAGCTCGAGAAGGCTTCCGGAGTTATGTACCCAGTTCCTCGGGGATCAAGCTTCGCAAAGAACTGCTTCATCATCGCTTCAAACGCGGGTGTGGGCGATCCATTTGTGTAGAACATGTGTTCGGTCCAGCCTGATGGTGGAGACACCGGCTGCTGGGGCCGGGGAGGGAGCGGAGGTGGGGCACCGTACATCGTGGGCGAGTGACGATGGCGCGCGACAGCGATGCGTTCCTGATGCGATACAGGGTGCCGCTGCCACGAGCCCCAAAGTCGAGGATGATCCTGCGGTTGAGCGAGGAAGAGGAGAAAGGCGGGGCAGGACAGCTGCCAGCATCACCAAAATTCGATGTTCAGCTGAAAAGCCCTCCCTGATTACGCGCCTGGCAAGCGAGTGGCGCATCTCGTCAACTTCCAGGACGAGCGAACCCGTCCACGGGTCACTGTTCTGATCCATGGAAAGTATTGCGTGAATGTTTGAGGTTTCTTGCCTGACAACGCGAGCCCGACACCACCTAAAGCCGAGGGAACTTTATTGTAACAGAAGGGGAGGTGGTGAGTCTTCGATTGGTCGGCATGCGGCAGCTCGCTTGGCCGCTGTCAAACCTGGGCAAAGCCCTTGGCGCCGGAGACTTACGATACACAACCTCCTCCACCTCGACACGACAATGTAGAGATCGTCTTCTAAGGGTTCTCACGGCAAAGCTGCCATGTTTGCGACCTGCTTGACGGATCGCTGTGGCTGAACGCCACGGGAAACATATTCGCTCACGTTCCGCAAACGTGCTCAAATCCGCGCAGGCAGCACTGTCGTGATCCTGAATGTAAGCCTTCCGCACGAGCACTCTTTTACGCCCGGCGAGGGAGTTCCTGCAGGTTCTTACCCTCGTTCGCTTCAATTGAGCGAAATCTTCGTCCCGTCTCCTCTTCTTTTTCTTCGGCTTGTCTGCCGCGCCCGCCTAGACTCAAAGGATCATGGTAGCTAGGGCGAGACTGAAGATGGCACTGTTGTGGAATAGACGTAGCGAAGTGACGACACGCCTGTGCGCAGCGAGCGCGAGGATATAAGAACTCTTTCGCAGTACCTTGTTCGCTTACGTGCTCAGCAAGTGTTAAGAATCGGAGGTTACTCAGTATCACATACGCCGACTGTCTCTTAGCTCGTTCGCAGGACTCACGATAAAACATGAATCTCAGATTCCTTGGACAGGTTGTGGCGCTCGCCTCCTGTTTGCTGCCCTCCGCGGTGTGTCAAGCAGGAAACAGCTCATCGCCCGTCTTCACACCCGAGCTTAACACCATGCGTACCCTCTCCGTCGGATTCGTACGTATATGTTCGCAAGTCATAGACCTCATGCGCTTACCGTTTCCAGGTCATCTTTCCCGGGTTCGAGCTCCTGGATGTTTTTGGCCCCATGGAGATGCTGACCATTGTATGAACCCAACGATACTCACAGTCCTCGTGTCTCAGCGCTGACAGCGTCCATGTAGCTCTCGGCCTTCAACAAGATGACCCTCTCCGTCATCGCCGAAGAGACTGGCCTTGTGCCCGCTGGCATGCAGCCATACGGCCCTGACGACTACAGCATGCCGCCAACCGACTTCGGACACGTCATCGCGCCTCGTGTAGAAGCAACCCACAACTTCAAGAACGCGCCGGCGCTCGATATCCTCTTCGTTCCCGGTGGGCTCGGCGTTGTGACCCTAGACCAAAACAACGACACTGGGGTGGCAGACTTTGTCAAGATGCGCCTCGCTTCGCTCGAGTACCTGGTCGGCGTAAGCTTCGGCGTAGCGACGCTTGCGAGCGCGGGTGTGCTCGACGGCAAGAAGGCGACAACGAACAAGTCTGGGTGGGCGTGGATAACGGAGCGCGGACCGAACGTGACGTGGGTGCCGCAAGCGCGCTGGGTCGAGGACGGTACTGTCTGGACTACGTCGGGAACCGCGTCTAGTATGTGCAATCGGAAGGACCGCAACGCAGAGGCTTCGACGGCGCGATTACTGACATGACAAAGGTCTCGATGCGACATACGCCCTCTTGAGCAGATTCTACGGCGCGCAACCGCTCAACTACCTGCTCAACGTGATTGAGTATGCGCCGCACCTGGACCCTACCTGGGACCCGTACGCGACGACTTTCAATGTGAGTGGCTTCGATGAAGAGAGAGACTGCGCTGACGAGAGTTCAAGGTCTCCGGTTCGCACAACTCGTCCTGGCAGGGTTGCGTCAACCCTGTCCCGATGCCTGTGCGATAAGCAAGTATGTCGGGGAGTGTTTGTGTTCGCGTCGCTTTCGCGAGAGTTCGACACAGTCGCGACGCGTTCGCAAGAGATTGTTAGCGTCGCGACGATGTGTTAAGGTTAAGACGATGTATTAGAGACGCGGTGCTTAAGTTTTGCGCGATTACGCGAATTTTAGTTACGCGCACTATAGAATAGTTATTAGAAGTAGATTAGATCTATAAAATAGAATTAATTATTATAAACTCTTTTATTTATTAGTAATAGAAGAAGCGTACTTTTACTAAAAGAGACTTTAGTATATATATTCTAACTATAAACTTTTAGAATATATTACTCTATTAGTTATTATACTAGTATATAAAGTATTCTTATATAAATTAGATCTTTAATAATCTAAGAATTATCTAGAAAGAGAATATTTTTTAATAGAAGCTCTTTAGAATTATCTTATTATCTACTACTTTATCTTTTACTTATATTTCTTAGTATTAGACTTTTATATAATACTTTAGATAGTAGAATTTCTTTATAATAGAACTCTTTTTTACTAAACTAATATTTATATACTTTTTTATCTATACTAACTACTTTATATTCTTATAGTAATATATCTTTATACTTTTTAATATCTATATAAATAGTAAAGCTTATAGAAATATATTCTACTATATAGTATAAAAAGTAGTTAGTATACGTTTATATAATATATATAGTAATAATAACTATTAGAAATACTATAAGTATAAACTTTACTCTTTTTATTAGATTAGCTAGAACTATAATAGTAGTTATATTTATGCTAACTATATTCTTACTAGTAAGTAATATTAGATAAGATAATTACTTAGATAAGATAACTACTTAGAAATACTAGAAAATAGTAATTTAAATAATATTTAGAAAGATAATATTAGAAGTATAATAAAATACTATACTAACTAGATTAGTATAATACTATAATAGTATATTTAGAGTATATAGTAGTGTAGAACTATAGTTTAATAGAACTAATAACTTAATAAAGTATTATAGTAAGTATAATACTAAGCTATACTAACTATAAAGATATTTAGAAAGTATTTTCTACTATTAGATAAAAAGTATTAAATACTATTAACTATTATTTAATTTTATAAGCTATATAGTATAATATCTATTTAGTTTTTAGTTTATTATATAATAGTTTAGTTTTTTAGGCGTTAGGTTTATCTTAAGCTAATAGCCTATATATATATATTCTAGTAAAGAACAAAACTTACTAGGTTTAGGTTAAGTTTACTGCGCGACATAGAGAAAATTAAAGCAAAGTTTTATTTATCTACAACCTCTTTTCTCTAGCAACCTCTAGATATACCTTACAAAACTACTATTAATTAAAGCAGAAAAGAACACAGAATTAAAATATTACTACGCGTAGTCTCTATCTTTAATTCTTTATTATATATTATAACTGCAAGCCTTTGCGCACGCGTTTCTTACTAAAGTTTCTATCTATAGCTCTCTAACTAACTATAATTATTATCTACAGCGCTAAGACTAACTATTATTTCTATCTACAGCGTAAAAGAAGCTTAGCGTAAATAAATTATTCTAAAGAATTTAGGCTAGCCCGTAATTCTCTACTATTAACCTCTTTTCTGTACTTTTCTTCTTTATCTATCTATCGCGTACAATAGTCTTAACGCATTCGCTATATTACTATATTTCTACTTATTATATACTATACCTACTATAAACTCTATACAGACTATCTCTTATAACTATAACGTACTATCTATTATAGCCTACCTGCGTAACTTATTACATACAACTTATCGCGCGTAATAGCCTATTACTACTATTCTATAGCTATATTACGTCTTATAATATAATATACTTTAAAGCGTAGGTATTATATAAATATTATTAAGTGTATATATAACCTACTAACAAAGTACGCTGCTTTTAATACTCTATATCGTTTATACACGCTCTACTACCTACACACAATAGAAAAGCAATATTATAGAAGTAATATAATTAGAACCTAGCTATAAATCTCTTTATATAGCTACCTAAACTAAAGATATAATAGTATTATAAACTAACGTATTTATATATTATAGTTATAACTATAGCTACAACTACAGCAACTAACCTATAATAGTAACTTAATCTTCTAAGTATAAGTTACTAGTAATTTTCTATAGCAACTAACTAGATACTCTACTATTATAACCTTACTATATACCTAACAAACCTACTTTTATACGCGCTTAACTTAATTTTAATAATACTTAGCTACACACTATTACAATTACGCTTGTTAATACTATTGCTAGATTAAAATTTAGAAGCACGCTACAGTAGTAATACTATTATTATTTTTGTATTAGATATAATATTATTGCTCTCTAACATTAACACTATTACTATAATAACTAGAAATTTACGCTAAGACCTATAACAGCGCTATTATTTGCGTTTACCTTTATAACAAATACTAGACCTAGTTAAACTATAAATTATATGCCTAAACTACCTCTTGTTAACAAGCACTATTCTTATAACTATAATACACTATAGACTTTGTAAAAGTTACTACTAATCTTATAGTTATTTGTAC